GTCTCTTCCAGCTTTGTTATTGTTAACTAAAACTGAAACAATTAAAAATTGTTTTCGGTAATTGAAATGAAGCTAAAATAAAATAAATTATAAATATTAGATGAAAAACTTTTTTTTTTTTTTTAAATACAACTTAAATAAAAAAAAAAAGAAATGTTGCCTGGGCAACTAACCAACAATAAAATAAGTTTAAGTACTTAAACTAAAAACTGAAATAAATAAAAAATATAAAACCAATTTTAAAAATTTAATCAAAACTAAATAAAAGTATAAAAAAACTAATAAACATTACAGAAGCACATAAAATTACAAAAACTGAAAATAAAATGAAACAGAAAATATGAAAAGGCAATTCAAAAAAAGTATAAATACTATATTAGTATATAATAATAATAATAAGCATATAATATAGTATATATATTATATATTATATAATTATTTTATATAGTATATAATAGACTAATAGTTAACCTAAAAATGATCATTCTGTCAGAATTTCTTCTCATTTCAAACACAAAAGATGATATTTTCAGAATATCTTTTCATTCTTAGGTAAACTATCTCTTTAATGTGGTGGTAGAAAGGTAGAAAAGTGAAAGAGGACAAGAAAGGACACAAACGAAGAGAGAATCCCTATCAGGAACATGATGAAAGGCAGAAAAGAGGACACACCAGAGGACAGCGGGGCAGACGTGGTAGAGGGCATCAGTCTCCTTTACTGCGCGATCACATTACGGCATACACAGGATGAGTAGCCCTTCAGGTGAGCGCGGTTGTCAACAGAGACAAACTGCAGCTCTTGGGACTGCCCCAGATCTGACAAATTATCCCCCTACATCAGTCACCTCATTTGATTCTACGAGGCAACCTGCGCCCTGCTCAGGGTCACACCAAGCAGCAACCACAAGCTGTTCATCTCCAGGTGTCCATTAATGATGTTCTCCTTGATGCCACTCTCAAGCACTATACAGTGAAGTGCAATGCCTCACCCTGCTAATTACGAGCGAGAGGACAGGAAGTGTGAAATTCACTAATGCTCCGCTAAATTTCAAACAGTAAACTGCTGACTCTTTATTTGTTGTCGAGGCGGCTCATTTCGCTCGAGAACTGGTGTTGACTTAATGCAAATGCGGCTGGAAAGTACGTGTAGGAACGTCTTTGAAGTCCAGGGCTGTAGGGATGGTTGACAAGGACAAGACGATGGAGGCGGAGTGAGGGGGAAACTGCTGAAAAGCTCCACCCCTATTAGCATATCAGACTCATTAGCATCCCACAGGCAAAGACCCCTGGGAGAGAATGAAGCCATCTTACTGTGAAATCTTATCCTCCCCAATCTAAGCGCACTCGCCATATCCTTCCCTTCAGCTGCGCAAAGTAGGACGACCTGTAGCATGCTTCAGAGCAAAGCTCCCTAAGTTTCGCATGAGTAACTGCCCCCCTCTCCATTAAGCTGTTAAGCCACACAGTCAATTATCCTGGCTCAGGGAGGAGGCGGCGGTTCATCCAGAGCCGGAGAAAACGATATGCTTTGGTGGACCAGCAATAAGAGGGGAGGGTGCCGTGAAACGGTGTACTCAAGCCAAGCGATTTCTCATGAGGAGAAGGTAAGGCAATTAGATGCTTCATTGCCTCAGGTGTTACATAAAATCTAAGGAGGATAAAAACAAAAGGCCATAATAGGGACATTTTGAACTGTTATCACTTGGTTGTCAGATTTACAGTTCCCCTTGCAGGTCTACCCTTTAGAAACCTGGGCCTGGCCACTTGCTAAGACATTAAGGGAACTACACCGCTCTAAATTTCTGTTATTCCATGGAACATAAAAACAAATATCTTGAAGAATGTTCATATTGCTCTTGTTCATACAAGAAAAGGGCTGTCAAGCTCCAAAAATACTATAAAATGCTCCATGGAACTTGTGTGTTATTATCATTAACAAAAACTAAAAATATATATATATATATATATATATATATATATATATATATATGAGGAAAATA